CGCCATGTCAATGTCCGAAATGTTGAAGTCGTACACCTGCACATGATACATGGTACATGGCACATAGCACATGGCATTTGGCACATGGTACATGGTGCATGGCACAGGCAGTTGGCGCATGGCACATGGTACATAGTGCAGGCCATGGTGCACATCAAGGTGTGCAGGCCATGGTGCACATCAAGGTGTGCAGGCCATGGTGCACATCAAGGTGTGCAGCCATAGCACATGGCACATGGCAGAGCACATGGCACACGACACATGGCACATGGCACATGGTACATGGCACATGGCACATGGTACATGCCACACGGCACAAGTCACACGAAACATGGTACATGGCATGGCACATGGCACATGGCACATGGCACATGGCAGAGCACATGGCACACGACACATGGCACATGGCACATGGCACATGGTACATGGCACATGGCACATGGCACATGGTACATGCCACACGGCACAAGTCACACGAAACATGGTACATGGCATGGCACGTGGCACATGGCAGATGGCAGATGTCACATGGTACATGGCACGTGGCACAGACAAATGGCACATGGTACATAGCACATGGCACATGACACATGCCACATGGCACACGACACATGGCACATGGCACATGGCACATGACAAATGGCACATGGCACATGGCACATGGTACAAGGCACATAGCACATGGCACATGGCATATTGCAAATGGTACACGGAAATTGGCACACAGTGCATGGTACGTGACATATGGCACATTGCACATGGAATAGCAACACAATATGATGTGTGCACTACAATATGTGTGCAATACAATATGATGTGTGCACTACAATATGATGTGTGCACTACAATATGGTGTGTGCAATACAATATGATGTGTGCAATACAATATGATGTGTGCACTACAATATGATGTGTGCACTACAATATGGTGTGTGCAATACAATATGGTGTGTGCACTACAATATGATGTGTGCACTACAACATGATGTGTGCACTACAATATGATGTGTGCAATACAATATGATGTGTGCACTACAATATGATGAGTGCACTACAATATGATGTGTGCACTACAATATGGTGTGTGCAATACAATATGATGTGTGCACTACAATATGATGTGTGCACTACAATATGATGTGTGCACTACAATATGATGTGTGCACTACAATATGATGTGTGCATTCTCAGCAGATGGGCACATGTGTGCAGCAGCACCTGGGTGTTGGCGTCACCTGGATGTTGGCGTCACCTGGGTGTTGGTGTCACCTGGGTGTTGGCGTCACCTGGCTGTTGGCGTCACCTGGGTGTTGGCGTCACCTGGGTGTTGGCGTCACCTGGGTGTTAGAGGCACCTGGGTGTTGGCGGCACCTGGGTGTTGGCGTCACCTGGGTGTTGGCGGAACCTGGGTGTTGGCGTCACCTGGGTGTTGGCGGCACCTCGGTGTTGGCGTCACCTGGGTGTTGGCGGCACCTGGGTGTTGGCGTCACCTGGGTGTTGGCGGCGATGTGGGCAGGGTTGACGGAGCGCGGCAGCACAGTGAAGCCCTTCTGCAGGCACCACCGCACCATGAGCTGCGCCGTGCTCTTCACGTACCGCGCTGCCATCTGCCCATACCATGCCGTGGGTGGGGTGGGCATGCCAAGGGGTGAGCCGGATGGCAGCATGAGGTGCACATGCAGTGGGCGTGAGGTGCACATGCAGTGGGTGTGAGGTGCACATGCAGTGGGCGTGAGGTGGAAGCAGCAAGCATGTATCAGCGAGTGCCATCATCTGCATTGCCATCATCTGCATTGCCATCCACACCTGCACCGCCTCGCCCTGCCTCCCTCCACGTGCCCAGCATACATCCGCCCAACAGCCCGGTTGCTATAAGGTGTGCACGCGCGGCTTGGAACACACGCATTTTCCGGCCCGACCTTGGCCGAAAATTGGAATGGACTGGCCCAACCAGCGGCAGAAAGCCCGGGCCACGACTGGGGCCACGTGCGACCCAGCGGTCCAGTCCAAGAGGGCCGAGACGGGCCCACAGCTGAAACACACCGGGCCGGCCCGGCTCATGCCTACTGCCCCCCCAGGACGGTTTCTGAATTGTTTTTTCACCTGCCTATTCAAGAGTTTGTCTAAAGTTTTTATATCACTACTCGAGCGTGCGCGAAAATACTTACATAGAAAAGGCCTGCGCAGTTCTTCCGTCCCAGATGCCTCGCACCATCCACATCTGCCTTTGCTTGTCTGTGCCTCTCAAGCACGTTGTGTTGTGCCCCCCCCGGCCTGCCACCATCAGCTCCAACCCGTTGCACATTGTGCCACAAACGAACTGCGTTCGCCCTGCTAAGGTCACACCTGATTGAAACTCAACTCATGGTCTGCAGCGCACCCACGTGCACCGCACAGCGCACCTCAACGAGCGTGGGGTCGCGCAGGCGAGTGCCCTTGGTGAGGGGCGAGTAGGCCTGCAGCACCATGCCGTGCTGCAGGCACAAGTCCACGAGGGGCCGCCGCGTGCCGAAGGGGTGCAGCTCCAGCTGGTTGACGGCGGGGCGCACAGTGCTGTGCTCAAAGAGCTCCTCCAGCTGGTGCTGCCCGAAGTTGCTCACCCCGATGGCCCGCACGCGCCCCCCCCGCAGCAGATCCTCCATGGCCCGCCACGAGTCCAGGCGCGCGTCCACTCTCATGGGCGAGTGCAGCAGGTACAGGTCCACTGGGGGGGGGAGGGGGTAAGGGGAGAGGGGGTTGGGTGGGAGGGGGCAGGACTACGTGCCTTGGGTTGAGGACGGTGAGGGGCGTGTGGAAGGCAGATGCGATGGACGGAGTCGGCATGGGAAGGGAGGTTTGAATCACGCGAACCTGTCCCACCCACCGTAGTCGAGCCCCACCCACCATAGTCGAGCCCCAGGTCGGTGAGCGAGCGGTGGAAGGCCTGCAGCGTGGCGTCGTAGCCGTTGTCGGCGTTCCACAGCTTGGTCGTCACAAACACACTCTCGCGCGGCAACCCACTCGCCCTCACCGCCCTGCCTGATGGGGTGCGCGTGCGAGGCGATGGGATGGGGTGAGATGGCATGGCATGGCAAGGGATGCGATGGGATGGCATGCGATGGCATGGGATGGGATGGGATGGGATGGGATTGGATTGGATGTGATGGGATGGAATGGGATGATGGCGCGCTCACGTGAGGCTGAGGTGGTAAAGAATGACATTTGACCGGCTGCAGGCAGCGCATGGAATGGCGAGTGCATGGTAAAGCATCGCAGGTCCCCCGGCAGAGACACATAAGCAAGGATGGCCGCGGGAGGGGGGTAAGGGCGGAGGGGGAAGGGACAGCGGCAAAAGGGGGGAGTGGGGGGGCCGAGTCTGACCAACAGCGGCTTCGTTGCGGTGCAGCTGGGCGGTGTCGATGTGGCGGTACCCCTCCCTCAGTGCTGTCAGCACCGCCGCCTCCGCATCGCGCGCTGAGATCTGCGGGGTGGTGCGCACGAGGTGAGTGTGGGACACACGGGGCGGGCAGGGCGCTCCAATATGGCGCGCTCAGTGGCTTCATATGACACACGAGTCGCACACATGCCCCATGAGTCGCACACATGCCCCATGAGTCGCACACATGCCCCATGAGTCGCACACTATGCGCGCATCTCACCATGTAGGTGCCGAAGCCCAGGCGCGGCATCTTGACATGGCCGTCGAGCGGCGCGTTGCAGATGTCAACGCAGTCCGTCGCGGGGCACAGCACGCGCTGCCCCATCGCGCGTAGGCTCGTCATCCGCCCCCCCGCCCCGCCCCGCGCTGCGCTGATGGTCTGCTCCTCTCACAAACTGCGGGAAACGTACGCGAGCAGGGAGCGGGAGCGGGGAGCAGGAAGGGCAGTGTGATTCTGGTCAGGGTGGCGGCGGTAAGCCTTAAGCAGCGCGGCGCGAGGGGTGTGGGGGGATACACAGGCCAGAAATCACAGCGGGGACACGCGCGGCGGGGTGGCTCTACCCGCCCCCGAGGGGTCCTCGCGTGCGCTAGGCGGAGAGGCGAGGCGGAGAGGCGAGGCGGAGAGGCGAGGCGAGCACGCGACTCGCAAGTCAACGAGGTGCGACAACCGCGGCGGGGCAGGCGCGTGGCGTCGAGACACCCGCACGAGCAGCGCTGGCAGTCGCCGGCGCTCCTTGGGTGCTCGCGAGGCGTATTAGCGCAGTCGGGATGGTGGGCGTGCGCCGGGTACCAATGCTGACCCACCTGATTGCTTAACTCCTCGGTCGTAATTACGTTGCCACTTTCTTTCCCGTCGCGACTCGACCGTTGCGATTGGAGCGTTGCGACTAGAGCGTTGCGTTTATACTAGAATGCGTGAGTGAATGGCACCGCGCGCCGTGAACATAACTGGGCGTATTTGGAGCGGATGCTTCATGAAAGGGCTGACCCCACCTCAAAGCCCAAGGTTGATGTTCTCGAAACAACCAACCCCTAGGTGGTAACACAGCGGGAAATTGGGCCGTGCACATTCTGGTTCGGTTTTCGAAAGTTGGGCAATTCGCTGCCTCGCACTTGATGTCCCTGCTTTAAGTTCACATTCGGTTTCGGTGGTCGGGGTTGACGAAATGAGTGTGCGAAAACGAAAATACTTCGTTTCGTTGGGCAAGTGATAAGGGCGGGCTTATTCATTTTGTTCACATTTGACTTTGAAAGGTTCATTCTGGTGCGAAAATTGGAAAAAGCTCTTCAAAGTGGCTGGCTACTAAACCACCTCAAACAACGAAAATGTATGACCGCCCGTACCCAACCAACCCTTGTTGAATATCTCCCTCGCTGAACTCGCGTCCGAACTGTAGACGACGTTGGACGCGCCCTTCCTCACAGAGGGTGGTGAGCACAATTTGCACTGTCAGGTTTAGGACTTTCCAAACCGCAACCTGGGGAGGCGCGTGTTGAGTGCCACGTCCATTCCCACGCATTCCGCCGCAACCTCCCACGCTTGCACAAGGGCTCAAGCGTCACGCTACCTCACCTCAAACCCATGTTCTTCCGCCTCTCCACGCCGTTCCGACTCTCCACGTCCCTCCGCCTATCCGCGCCCTTCCGCCTCGCCGCGCCGGTCGCCCACATGCTTCTCCGCGCGCCCCTCCATCGCTCCCGCAGCGCTCTCATTCCGTCTCTCTCTCCCTCGTCGCCCGCCGCATCGCACGGCCCCGTCGCGCGCTCTTCGCAGCGGAGCCTCGCGACCACTGCGACGGGCCACTCCGCTGCGGCGAGCAGCAGACGTCGCGCGGCCGCGTGCGCCTTGTGGACGGCGCGTGCCCCCTGTCCCCTCTACTATTGCGGCCTTGCGCCGCTCCCTGCCCCCGACGCGACCCTTGGGCCTCTTGCACTCTCTCCACGCCGCGTCGCACGGACGCTCTCAGCGGCGGGGACAGACGGCGAGGGGGTCGTGAGGGGAAATGGCGGGGTGCGGGGAGGCAGTGCGGCGATGCTCGCTTCGGGAGCATGGGGGGAATCGCAGAAGGGGCAACGGGGTTTCGGCGGAGGCGCACTCCCGCGCGCGACCACGGCGGAGGGCGCCGTGCTGCGCGGGGAGGAGGCGGGCGGGGCCAGCGGGATGGGGACCGTGAGGGGCAATGGCGCGCCTGGCGCAACCGGGGCGAGGGGAGGGGCGGATGAACCAGCAAGGCAGGGGGTCGTGGCGCAGGCGAGGTGGGGCGGCGCGGAGGCGGCGGCGGTGGGGGGGCGCGCGGTGGTGCTGTGGGATTTGGACAACGTGCAGCCAGAGCGCATGGAGCCCTTCGACGCCGCCACGCGCCTCACCGACCTCGCCGCCAGCTTCGGGTCGCCCGTGGACGTGCTGGCCTACGCCAACCGTCACGCCTTCGACCATGTCCCCGCCTGGGTGCGCGACCAGCGCCGCGAGCGCCGCGACGCGGAGCGCATGGCGGCGCGCGGAGAGTCGGAGGAGCGGGAGGTGCGGTGCGAGCTGTGCGGGCGGCGGTGCAGCGGGGCGGCGGCACTGAGGAAGCACTTTGTGTCGCTGCACCAGAGGGAGCATGAGAAGCGCATGCAGCACCTCAACCACGCCTCCCCCAAGTGCGCGCTCGCCCACTCCCTCCCCTCCACCCCCCTTGCTCACACCTGCGCACACCTCTTGTCCCTCGCCCATGTCCGCCCCAATTCCCTCATCGCATTTCCTCCTCCCTCTGCACCGCTGCCCATCCCCTAGGCCCCACCGTGCCACAGCCCTCTCTTGCCCTTTTCCCCTCGCCCCATCACACCCCTGCCATTACCTCATGTCTGTGCTGCTGCCCGCCCCCCCCCGGTGCCCTAGCAGGCGGAAGCGGCGGCTGAGGGAGGTGTATCGGGGCAAGCAGCAGCGGTACCAGCAGGCGGTGAGGGGCGTGCTGCTGCCCTGCCGCGGCTACGGGCTCATGCCCGAGCTGCGCCGCGCGGGGGTGGTCGTGCGCCTCGTCAGCCAGCAGTCGCAGGTGGGTGGTGGGAGAGGGGGAGGTGAGAGGAGGGGAATGGAGGAGGTGGAGGGTTGAGAGGTGAGTGTGGCCGCCTCATCATTGCATCTTCCACCCTCTCACTCTGCTACTCACTCTGCTACTCACTTGCGCTCCCTCCCCACCCCAACCCCCCACTTCTCCCGCACTCCGCATGGCTGCTGGCCGCCCAGGCGGCGGACGAGGCGTTGAAGAGGGATTTGGCAGCGGCGGTGCGCAGCGGGCAGGTGGGCGCCGTGCTTCTCGTCTCCGACGACCGCGGCTACTCCCGCGCCCTCGGTGCCGCCGCTGCTGCTGGCCTCACCACCGTCGCTGTGGGCATCAACGGGTCGCTGCAGGTGCGGGGGGGAGGTAGTGCGTTGAGGGGATGCACTGTGCCTCCTCTTTCTGCATGTGGGCCACTAGTATTTAGCCGTTGAAATTCATCGAATCATAAATAATTTTCCTGTAAGTTGTTAAGGATACCGGCAAGATCTGCCCCCTCACTTCACTGCAGCACCTCATGGTTTTCATGCACTGTGTGCTGCACAGCCCTCTTCCCCATCCCTACCTCCCTGCCCCACTACACCGCATCCACTCTATCACTGCTCATTGCTGCTCTTCGTCCGCTGCCTCGCTGCGTCGCCTGCTGCATGTCAGAACAATGAACGAGAAAGAATGAACTAGCAAAAAGTTGGGTACAAGTACTAACCCTAATTGTGTTGTACCCCTTATGGGCTATCCCACTACAATCTACACAATGAAAGCTATATATAAGTTTGACACACCCCCATAGGCAAAGTGGGGGAGAACAAGTGGTCACAAGACCAGTCAAAAAAAGCAAAACAAGCTCAGGGTGGATCACAAAGTCACCACACAGTCCGAGCACAAGCAAAGGGCCACAAAGTCATTTCACACGCAGAGTTCTATATGAGAGAACAAACAATACAGTGATCATACCCTAGCAAGTGCAAGCATGCAGGTATATATATAGATCACAGTACAAGCAAAGTCACGCAGTAAGCACGTGAGGCAAAGTAGGCACAAGGCCTAACAAAGTAGAGAAACGCTGATGATCACCAGGCGGAAGTGCTTTGGTGAATATATCAGCAGTGTTGGCCCTAGTGGCCACGTACGCAAGACGAAGCTGGCCACGCTGCTGCAACTCTCGAGCAAGGAAGTATCGCAGAGCGATGTGCTTCGTTCTGTGCTCTAGTCTGTGCTCCTGACACAAGGCAATCATGGCCTTGTTGTCTAAGTACAGAACTGGAGGCGAACGGGGCTGCTCTCCCAAGTCAATCAGCAGATAGGTGAGCCAACGTAGCTCCTGTGCAGCCATGACCCCAGCGTAGATCTTAGCCTCACAACTGAAGCTGAGAACCGAAGACGAGCGGGTAGACCGTCAAGAAACAAAGCCAGAGCCAAGGCTGAAGGCGTAACCCTGTGACGACCGCTGCGTAGCTGAGTCGACAACCCAGGAAGCGTCTACGTGACCGGTGAGGACAATTGGACCCCGACCTCCAAGCATTAGCCCCATGCCCGACGTACTGCACAAGTAACGCAGTACCCTCTTTACAGCATGCCAGTGCACCTTTCGGTGCCTACTGAGAGCCACGTAGCGAGCCAGGAGGCTAAGAGGGTACGTGAGGTCAGGTCGTGTGCACGTCATCAGGTACATGAGGCAACCCACAAGCTCTGGGTACGGACCACTCGGCTCTACGGACTCGTCCGAATGTGGAACTGAGAGCGAGTGGCCGGTAGACAGAGGAGTGGGCTGTGGCGAGGAGAACTGAAGCAGAAGCGCTGAAGGACCTGGTGCAGCATGTGTGACTGTGTCAGGGTAATGGTGCGCCGAGCTCTGTCTCGGGTGATCTGCAAGCCAAGATAGCTGCGCAGTTCACCCAGGTCAGTGCAGGTGTGTCTCTTCTGCAGCTCCGACTTCACAAGGGTCAGTGCCTCAGTGTCAGCAGTGGCAAAGACGAGGTCGTCGACGTACACGAGGACGTAGAACGGCGGCAGCGAGGTGTCGGTGCGTAGAAACAGCGACGGGTCAGCAGTAGAAGGAGCAAACCCAAGAGCCGCAAGTGTAGTCCTCAGTGTGTCGTGCCACTCGTGAGGCGCCCGGCGGAGACCGTAGACTGGCCGCCGGAGGCTCCACTGGGTACCTCCAGGAAACGACCTAGTGAAACCAGGTGGGCGGCGCAGCCAGATCTCCTCATGCAGGCTGCCCTGTAGGAAAGCTGTGCTGAAGTCCAGAGAGTGCAACTCGTAGTCACGCTGAGCAGTGACGTGCAGCAACACCCGAAAAGTATTCATCTTCGGAGTGGGTGAGAAGGTCTGGAAGTAGTCAACCCCCTGTCGCTGACTGAAGCCTCGAGCAACGTAACGCGCCTTGAAGGCACGCGGAGAACCCGGCGGTCGCTTCACCCTGAAAATCCACATGCCATCGACTATGTTCGCCCCAGGTGGGGGAACCTCATCGACGTAGGTGCTTGTGGACTTCCAGGATGCCATCTCGGCATCCATGGCTGCCTGCCAGTGAGAGGGGTAAGGACCCGTAATCGCCTCTGCGTAAGAGCACGGGGTCGGGATGTCTGGTGCATCCGGGTCTCCCTCAGGGGCAAGCAACATGGAAGCGAAACGAGGTACAGCAGCTGCAAGACACTCAAAGTCCTCCTGCCTGTCCTCAAGGACGTCCGTGCCAAGAGCACACTCACCCCCGACGGACGGAGGACTAGCAGACTTAGACTGAGCAACAAGAGCAGTGGCGTAGTCTAGATGACAAGAAGCTCAGCAACGAGGGCAGACGCAGCAGCAGACTCAAAGGAAGGGTCAGTGACAACTGTGGCAAGGAGACGAGAGACAGTAGGACTGGTAGCACGAGCGCGGTCAGACACAGAGTCAGGGACCTGAGAAAAAGAGAACTCAGGAGGAGGAGACACAGAAACACGCAGTGGAACAGAGGAAGGACGAAGTGCCATAGTGTTTGGCCAGGGACAGGAGGAGGACGCGAACGAGGACCACGACAAGTAGTGCGAACAGGCGAGACAGGACGAGACGTAGACTCACGACGTTCTGTAAGACCGCCAGACTGCTCAGAGTAAGGAGAAGGAGCAGGAAGTGGGGAGGCCGGCGGTAACGGCAGCTGCGACTGGTCAGGCGGTGGACACAGGAGGGGAGGAGTAAGGCTAGTAGAAGACGGGACACCAAGAACCTGCTGAAGCAAGGGAACGAAGTACGGTCGCGGCCGCACAGCGCCTCCAGGGTCAACAGCTCCAGCACCTCCAGCTCCAGCGCCTCTAGCGCCATTGCCACCAGCTCCAGCTCCTCCAGCTCCAGCGCCACCAGCGCCAGAGCCTCCAGCTTCAGCAGCTCCAGGCTCCGCAGGGTCCCTAGCTCCAGCACCCCCAACACCACTAATCCCATAAGCTCCGGTACGAGCACCTCCAGGACCAGCAGCCACAGCACCTCCAGTACCACCAGCTCCAGCAGTAACTCCAGCACCTCCAGCTCCAGCGCCTCCAGCTCCGGTAGCTCCACTCCGAAGTCGTGCTCGCCGAACAAGCCACTCACGCAGCTGCTGCGGAGACAGTCTCGGCGAAGCACGAGCAGGACCTCCAGACGAAGCAGCACCCTGAGGCTCAACACCCCCAGACTCCGCACCCTCCGACTGAGCACCCCCAGGCTCAACACCCTCAGGCTCAGTACCCCCAGGCTCCTCACCCCCAGGCTCAGCACCCCCAGACCCAGCACCCTCAGACTCCGCACCCCTCGGCTCCGCACCCCCAGACGCAGCACCTCGAGCAGCACCTGAGCCGACAGCTACCTGAACAGGCGCAGGACCAGGTAGAGGGTCTACCTGAGACACACCTGAGGGAGCAGGACCCTGGGGCGGGAGGGGGTCTACCGGAGGAGGACCGGGAGCAAGGAAGAGCGGCGGGGGCGGGGGAGGGGCAGAGCGGTAGGGGAAGAGACGGTAAAAGGGTACCGACTCATCAAAGGTGACGTCCTAAGAAGGGAAGACACGGCGCGAGGTGGGGTGGTAAAACTGCCAGCCAGGCGCGTCAGGAACAAAGCCAAGGAAGACGCAGGGGATAGCACGGGCGAAGAGCTTGTCCGCGGACGTATCACGAACAAAGGCACGAGAACCCCAGACCCGGAACACCGACGCATCGCCAACCTCCCCCGTCCAACGCAGTGTAGGCGAGGTCTCCGGCAAGGAGACACGGGGCCAGAGGTTGAGTTGATGCGCAGCGTACCGGACCGCAAACGGCAACAGAAAATGGGGAGCAGCCGCATGGATCATGGAGGTACAAGCGACCTCCATGACTAATCCAATGCGACGCTCAGCAATCCCATTCTGCTGTGGAGAAGCCGGAAGCGTGGACGACTAGGTGATGCCCTCCCCACGACAAAAGTCCCGCAAGAGGTCGGAGGAGAACTCACCACCTCTGTCAGAGTGCAGACGCAGGACAGGAAGGTTCTGGCCGAAGCGCTCGTGGAGCAAGAGACGGACAGCGCAAATCCAAGGGATCAAAACGCCAGGGACCTCACCCTTGCTGCGCAAAGGGAAGACCGTGGTGTAACGCGTGTAGTCGTCAACAACCAGCAGAAAGTAGCGCTCGCGGCCCTGTACACTGACGCGGGCGGGGCCCTTCACGTCCATGTGGAGAGTCTGCAGGGGAGCAGTTGTCGGGGGAAACGAGGAGTGAGGAGCGGCGCGCTGCCGCCCCTCGACGCAAGGAAGGCAGGGCGGAGCAGGCGAGGGCGAGAGGGGAGGCAGAGACCTGGGAAGACCAGAGACAAGGAGACGGGAGTGCATGCCTCGCAGGCGTGGCAGGGAGGGGTGACCAAGGCGGTGGCGCCAGAGAAGAGTCTGGTGCGACAGGAGGCGACACAAGCAAGGGGGTGCTACCTGACCTGACGCAGACACCTGGGCAGACGCAGCTACCTGAGGAGACTCGGTAGCCAGTGTGTACAGACTCGACCCTGGCCGACGAGTGAACGTGGCCAGGTGATGGCTCGTCCGTGTACACGTGCAGATCGATTGCCGACCCTCAGGAGTGGTGGTAGTGACCATCGAATCCTGGAGGGCAGCTGTACTCACCAAGTTCGTAGAGAACGAGGGGAGGTGAAGACCTGACAGTGAGCCGGACGGAACCGCCGGACACGGGAGAACAGTGGAGGAGCGGGCAACGACTGGGCCCCCGGAAGGGTCAGCCAGTCGGACCGGGACAGGTGCAGAGAGAGGAGTGAAGGTGGTGCTATCACGAAAGAAACAGCGTGAGACACCTGAGTCCAGCGTGAAGGTGTGCAAGGCCTGAGCAGGCGCAGTATCAGGGAGAGTAGCAGACTCACTAGCACCTAGTGCAGCAGCCGCTATACCTGGGTCAGGTGGCACACACTGGTAACAGTCACCCTCAGTACTAACAGACAAAGCATACATAGCAGAAAGAATAACATCAAAGTCTAGGGGCAACAGGCCGGGCGCGCGGGCTAGGGGCAACAGGCCGGGCGCGCGGGCTAGGGTCGACGGGGCCAGGGCGCGGGGGGTAGGGTCGACGAGGCCGAGGTGCGCGGGCTAGGGGTAGACAGGGCCAGGGCGCGCGGGCTAGGGGTCGACGGGGCCGGGGCGCGGGCTAGGGGTCGACGGGGCCGGCGAGCGGGCTAGGGGTCGATAGGGCCAGGGCGCGCGGGCTAGGGTTCGACGGGCTGGGGCGCGGGCTAGGGGTCGACAGGGCCGGCGCGCAAGCTAGGGGTCGACGGGGCCAGGGCGCGCGGGCTAGGGGTCGACGGGCCGGGGCGCGGGCTAGGGGTCGACGGGCCGGCGCGCGAACTAGGGGTCGACGGGGCCGGCGCGCGGGCTAGGGGTCGACGGGGCCAGGGCGCGCGGGCTAGGGGTCGACAGGCCGGGGCGCGGGCTAGGGGTTGACGGGCCAGGGCGCGCGGACTAGGGGTTGACGAGCCGGGGCGCGCGGGCTAGGGGTCGACGGGGCCGGGCGAGCGGGCTAGGGGTCGACTGGCCGGGGCGCGCGGGCTAGGGGACGACAGAGCCGGGCGCGCGGGCTAGGGGTCGACGGGGCCGTGCTAGAGGCGACGGGCCGGGCTAGGGGCGCGCTGGCTAGGGCCTACGGGCCGAGCTAGGGGCAACGGGCCTAGGGGCGACGGGCCAAGGGGCGACACGAGGGCCGCTAAGGGCAGTGCAGTGGTGGGCCCAAAAAAACGGTCCTAGCGGAGGACCTGCTCTGAAACCATGTCAGAATAATGAACGAGAATGAATGAACTAGCAAAGAGTTGGGTACAAGTACTAACCCTAATTGTGTTGTACTCCTTATGGGCTACCCCACTACAGCCTTCACAATGGGCCACCCCTCACCATTCTGCACCGCACCCTCGCTCCCCTTTTGCGGCTTCCACGCATCCCCGCATGCGCGCCCACTTCTCGGTATCAATGCCCCGACCCGCCCTGCCCCGTTCCCCCTCACGTGCATGTGCCATGCCCTCAGCCGGCGGTGCACCGGTGGTTCTGGTGGGGCGATGTGCTCTCCGGCCGGGCCGTGGCGCTCGCCCGCGGGGAGGCAGAGGGGATGGCGGGCTGGGGGGTAGGGGACGGGTGGGACGAGGCAGAGGAAGGGAGAATGGTGGGGGGCCAGGCATGGGGCGATGAGGAGAGGGGAGCGGCCGTAAGGGAGAGGGGAGAACGAGGGAGTGGGGTTGGCAGTGGGGCTAGGGGAGTGCTGCTTGAAGTGGAGGAGGTGGGGCGACGGGGGGTGGTGATGGAGGGGCAGGAGGACAGGTGGACGCATGGTGATGTGCATACGGGGCAGGGCGAGGGGAGGTACGAGGTGAGAGGGGTGGCAGGTGGTGTGGAGGATGAGGGAGGGAAGTGCGACGATAGAGAGGAGTGGGACGATGGGGAGGAGTGGATGGAGGAGGAGTGGGATGAGGATGAGTGGGAGAGCGAAGAGGAGGAGGATGACAGAGATGATAGTGATGAGGTGAGTCGGTGTTGGGAAGAAGGTGAGGTAGTGTGAAGTACGATCGTGTGTTCCACATGTGAAGTACAATCGTGTGTTCCACATGTGAAGTACAATCGTGTGATCCACATGTGAAGTACAATCATGTGTTCCACATGTGAAGTACAATTGTGTGTTCCACATGTGAAGTACAATCGTGTGTTCCACATGTGAAGTACAATCATGTGTTCCACATGTGAAGTACAATCATGTGTTCCACATGTGAAGTACAATCGTGTGTTCCACATGTGAAGTACAATCGTGTGTTCCACATGTGAAGTACAATCGTGTGTTCCACATCTGAAGTACAATCATGTGTTCCACATGTGAAGTACAATCGTGTGTTCCACATGTGAAGTACAATCGTGTGTTCCACACGTGAAGTACAATCGTGTGTTCCACAGGTGAAGTACAATCATGTGTTCCACATGTGAAGTACAATCGTGTGTTCCACATGTGAAGTACAATCGTGTGTTCCACATGTGAAGTACAATCGTGTGTTCCACATGTGAAGTACAATCGTTTGTTCCACATGTGAAGTACAATCATGTGTTCCACATGTGAAGTACAATCATGTGTTCCACATGTGAAGTACAATCGTGTGTTCCACATGTGAAGTACAATCGTGTGTTCCACATGTGAAGTACAATCGTGTGTTCCACATGTGAATTACAATTGTGTGTTCCACATCTGAAGTACAATCGTGTGTTCCACATGTGAAGTACAATCGTGTGTTCCACATGTGAAGTACAATCATGTGTTCCACATGTGAAGTACAATCGTGTGTTCCACATGTGAAGTACAATCGTGTGTTCCACATCTGAAGTACAATCATGTGTTCCACATGTGAAGTACAATCGTGTGTTCCACATGTGAAGTACAATCGTGTGTTCCTCATGTGAAGTACAATCGTGTGTTCCACATGTGAAGTACAATCATGTGTTCCACATGTGAAGTACAATCATGTGTTCCACATGTGAAGTACAATCGTGTGATCCACATGTGAAGTACAATCATGTGTTCCACATGTGAAGTACAATTGTGTGTTCCACATGTGAAGTACAATCGTGTGTTCCACATGTGAAGTACAATCATGTGTTCCACATGTGAAGTACAATCATTTGTTCCACATGTGAAGTACAATCGTGTGTTCCACATGTGAAGTACAATCGTGTGTTCCACATGTGAAGTACAATCGTGTGTTCCACATCTGAAGTACAATCATGTGTTCCACATGTGAAGTACAATCGTGTGTTCCACATGTGAAGTACAATCGTGTGTTCCTCATGTGAAGTACAATCGTGTGTTCCACATGTGAAGTACAATCATGTGTTCCACATGTGAAGTACAATCATGTGTTCCACATGTGAAGTACAATCGTGTGATCCACATGTGAAGTACAATCATGTGTTCCACATGTGAAGTACAATTGTGTGTTCCACATGTGAAGTACAATCGTGTGTTCCACATGTGAAGTACAATCATGTGTTCCACATGTGAAGTACAATCGTGTGTTCCACATGTGAAGTACAATCGTGTGTTCCACATGTGAAGTACAATCGTGTGTTCCACATCTGAAGTACAATCGTGTGTTCCACATGTGAAGTACAATCGTGTGTTCCACATGTGAAGTACAATCGTGTGTTCCACATGTGAAGTACAATCGTGTGTTCCACATGTGAAGTACAATCATGTGTTCCACATGTGAAGTACAATCGTGTGTTCCACATGTGAAGTACAATCGTGTGTTCCACATGTGAAGTACAATCGTGTGTTCCACATGTGAAGTACAATCGTGTGTTCCACATGTGAAGTACAATCGTGTGTTCCACATGTGAATTACAATTGTGTGTTCCACATCTGAAGTACAATCGTGTGTTCCACATGTGAAGAACAATCGTGTGTTCCACATGTGAAGTACAATCATGTGTTCCACATGTGAAGTACAATCGTGTGTTCCACATGTGAAGTACAATCGTGTGTTCCACATCTGAAGTACAATCATGTGTTCCACATGTGAAGTACAATCGTGTGTTCCACATGTGAAGTACAATCGTGTGTTCCTCATGTGAAGTACAATCGTGTGTTCCACATGTGAAGTACAATCATGTGTTCCACATGTGAAGTACAATCATGTGTTCCACATGTGAAGTACAATCGTGTGATCCACATGTGAAGTACAATCATGTGTTCCACATGTGAAGTACAATTGTGTGTTCCACATGTGAAGTACAATCGTGTGTTCCACATGTGAAGTACAATCATGTGTTCCACATGTGAAGTACAATCGTGTGTTCCACATGTGAAGTACAATCGTGTGTTCCACATGTGAAGTACAATCGTGTGTTCCACATCTGAAGTACAATCATGTGTTCCACATGTGAAGTACAATCGTGTGTTCCACATGTGAAGTACAATCGTGTGTTCCACATGTGAAGTACAATCGTGTGTTCCACATGTGAAGTACAATCATGTGTTCCACATGTGAAGTACAATCATGTGTTCCACATGTGAAGTACAATCGTGTGTTCCACATGTGAAGTACAATCGTGTGTTCCACATGTGAAGTACAATCGTGTGTTCCACATGTGAATTACAATTGTGTGTTCCACATCTGAAGTACAATCGTGTGTTCCACATGTGAAGTACAATCATGTGTTCCACATGTGAAGTACAATCATGTGTTCCACATGTGAAGTACAATCGTGTGATCCACATGTGAAGTACAATCATGTGTTCCACATGTGAAGTACAATTGTGTGTTCCACATGTGAAGTACAATCGTGTGTTCCACATGTGAAGTACAATCATGTGTTCCACATGTGAAGTACAATCGTGTGTTCCACATGTGAAGTACAATCGTGTGTTCCACATGTGAAGTACAATCGTGTGTTCCACATCTGAAGTACAATCATGTGTTCCACATGTGAAGTACAATCGTGTGTTCCACATGTGAAGTACAATCGTGTGTTCCACATGTGAAGTACAATCGTGTGTTCCACATGTGAAGTACAATCATGTGTTCCACATGTGAAGTACAATCATGTGTTCCACATGTGAAGTACAATCGTGTGTTCCACATCTGAAGTACAATCATGTGTTCCACATGTGAAGTACAATCGTGTGTTCCACATGTGAAGTACAATCGTGTGTTCCTCATGTGAAGTACAATCGTGTGTTCCACATGTGAAGTACAATCGTGTGTTCCACATGTGAAGTACAATCGTGTGTTCCACATCTGAAGTACAATCATGTGTTCCACATGTGAAGTACAATCGTGTGTTCCACATGTGAAGTACAATCGTGTGTTCCACATGTGAAGTACAATCGTGTGTTCCACATGTGAAGTACAATCGTATGTTCCACATGTGAAGTACAATGGTGTGTTCCACATGTGAAGTACAATCGTGTGTTCCACATGTGAAGTACAATCGTGTGTTCCACATGTGAAGTACAATCGTGTGTTCCACATGTGAAGTACAATCGTGTGTTCCACATGTGAAGTACAATCGTGTGTTCCACATGTGAAGTACAATCGTGTGTTCCACATGTGAAGTACAATCGTGTGTTCCACATGTGAAGTACAATCATGTGTTCCACATGTGAAGTACAATCGTGTGTTCCACATGTGAAGTACAATCGTGTGTTCCACATGTGAAGTACAATCGTGTGTTCCACATGTGAAGTACAATCGTGTGTTCCACACGTGAAGTACAATCGTGTGTTCCACAGGTGAAGTACAATCATGTGTTCCACATGTGAAGTACAATCGTGTGTTCCACATGTGAAGTACAATCGTGTGTTCCACATGTGAAGTACAATCGTGTGTTCCACATGTGAAGTACAATCGTGTGTTCCACATGTGAAGTACAATCATGTGTTCCACATGTGAAGTACAATCATGTGTTCCACATGTGAAGTACAATCGTGTGTTCCACATGTGAAGTACAATCGTGTGTTCCACATCTGAAGTACAATCATGTGTTCCACATGTGAAGTACAATCGTGTGTTCCACATGTGAAGTACAATCGTGTGTTCCTCATGTGAAGTACAATCGTGTGTTCCACATGTGAAGTACAATCATGTGTTCCACATGTGAAGTACAATCATGTGTTCCACATGTGAAGTACAATCGTGTGATCCACATGTGAAGTACAATCATGTGTTCCACATGTGAAGTACAATTGTGTGTTCCACATGTGAAGTACAATCGTGTGTTCCACATGTGAAGTACAATCATGTGTTCCACATGTGAAGTACAATCGTGTGTTCCACATGTGAAGTACAATCGTGTGTTCCACATGTGAAGTACAATCGTGTGTTCCACATCTGAAGTACAATCGTGTGTTCCACATGTGAAGTACAATCGTGTGTTCCACATGTGAAGTACAATCGTGTGTTCCACATGTGAAGTACAATCGTGTGTTCCACATGTGAAGTACAATCGTGTGTTCCACATGTGAAGTACAATCGTGTGTTCCACATGTGAAGTACAATCGTGTGTTCCACATGTGAAGTACAATCGTGTGTTCCACATGTGAAGTACAATCGTGTGTTCCACATGTGAAGTACAATCGTGTGTTCCACATGTGAAGTACAATCATGTGTTCCACATGTGAAGTACAATCATGTGTTCCACATGTGAAGTACAATCGTGTGTTCCACATGTGAAGTACAATCGTGTGTTCCACATCTGAAGTACAATCATGTGTTCCACATGTGAAGTACAATCGTGTGTTCCACATGTGAAGTACAATCGTGTGTTCCTCATGTGAAGTACAATCGTGTGTTCCACATGTGAAGTACAAGCATGTGTTCCACATGTGAAGTACAATCATGTGTTCCACATGTGAAGTACAATCGTGTGATCCACATGTGAAGTACAATCATGTGTTCCACATGTGAAGTACAATTGTGTGTTCCACATGTGAAGTACAATCGTGTGTTCCACATGTGAAGTACAATCATGTGTTCCACATGTGAAGTACAATCGTGTGTTCCACATGTGAAGTACAAT